CGAGAATCCTTGGGGAGCAGAACTCACTTGCAGAATTCCAGGTGACCATTCTTCCTGCTGTCTCCCTCCCATCAAAGGTGTGTGTTTGATGCATACATGCTGAATGCTTTCTTACTGCTTAGCACGGATGTTGTGGCAACAATATCCTGCCAAAAAATGCAGCTTTCAGTTTTAGGTAGACAGCTGGACACACAGTTGAGGGCTACATAGGCAAAAACAAACAGAATGCTATTGTTTCCCCCTAGTGGCTCACCAGAGAAGAAAGCAAGCATCTTGCTGCTGCCTAGAAATGGGAGTTTTAGAAATAGTGTTCCTTAGGAATATTGTTTTCAGCTTAACATTTAGGTACAGCACAATTTAAAAAACAAGTACCGGATGATGTTTGCTATACTGTGCTGAGAGAAAGAGAGAGTTGGTTCTTTATATATCAATGTTATATGAGCTTCCTGCCACGAAGGTACTTATTTCATTCACCATTTTTTGAAGTGGTTAAATTAATTTGTCTTCCAGGCATTTGTAATACATTGCTGAAAGCCCATCTGGGCCAGGCGCTTTACCTTTTTTCAGTTTTTTAATAGCTTGAGAAATCTCTTGTATTGTAATGTTTGCGTCCAGAAGATTTCTATTGTCATCTGAAAGGGTCTCAATGGGTGTATTCTTGATGTATTCTTCAATGCTGTCCTCCATTAATATGTCCTTTTTATAGAGATTTGAAAAAATAAGGTAAACTGTTCTTGAATTTCCTTCTCTATAAAGGAAATTATATTTTTTCGTATTCCAGTTATAGTTCTTCTTTCTGTTACTTTCTGTACTCCAAATTTCTTCCAGGCTTATTTGCATGTTCAAAATATTTTTGTTTTAAGAAATTCAATTTCTTCTGCATATCTTCAGTTTCCAGTATAATGAATTAACAATGAAGATACTGCTTTAATTGTTGTTTTGTTTCAACAGCTGAATACACCAAGAGACCAAAGGTGGCTACTTCACCAGGTTTTGGATTTTTCCTGTTATTTCCTTGATTTTTTCAGCTTTCTCTTTCTTCTTTTTGGAGGCTATAGCTATAAGCTTTCCTCTCATATATGCCTTACTGGTTTTCCCAAATTATTGTCACAGAAACACCTTTTGTACCATGTAATTTAAAACATTCTTCTAAGTCTCTTTCAGTTTTTAATTATATCCTCTTCTAATAATAAAGTGTCATTCAGTCTCCATCTTCTATTTTTGTTTACATAGCCTTGCCAAGTTGCCAACCACGGATTAGGGTCAGATAATATCTTTGGTTGAATCTCCACATTTTCCAGGTTCGTAATTCTATCTACCTTGTTATCTTCAGTTTCCAGCATATTTAATTGGTTTCTTAATTGCTTGATTCCATTTAATGTTGCCTTATTTAAAGATTTTTTATGTTGCCCTTCCAGATTTTGGATTTTTTCTGTTATTTCCTTGATTTTTTCAGCTTTCTTCTTTTTGGAGGGTATAGCTATAAGCTTTCCTGTCATATATGCCTTACTGGTTTCCCAAATTATTGTCACAGAGACACCTTTTGTATCATGTAATTTAAAACATTCTTCTAAGTCTCTCTTTCAGTTTTTAATTATATCCTCTTCTAATAATAAAGTGTCATTCAGTCTCCATCTTCTATTTTTGTTTACATAGCCTTGCCAAGTTGCCAACCACGGATTAGGGTCAGATAATATCTTTGGTTGAATCTCCACATTTTCCAGGTTCGTAATTGATGTTTTAGGTATCCAACACGTCAATTCTAGAATATAACTGATGTCTGTCAGAGAAGAATGTATAATCTCTAAGACTTGGATTGATAGTTCTCCATGCATCTTTTAGCTATAACAGTTCCATATATTTAAAGACATTATTGGGAAGTTTTCCTCCTTTGGTTCTTTTAGATCTGTCTTTTTAAAATCTAGACCCCATTCATGTCTCCAAATATCATAATCTCTCCTTCTTGAAAGTCCAGTAAAACTTGGGGGGGGGGATCTCTCTTTTTCTTTTTTTCTTTAGCATTGTTAGGAGTGTGAACACTGTTCTTGAAATAATTTACATCCCAAATTTTCGTTTCAACACAGGAATTTCTGTTCCATTATGATCATGAATGTGCTTCCCTCTCTGTTTACTGATACTGGCAGAAATAGGCCTCCCATTAATCTGTCCAGGGTTCAGAATTACCAACCCTCAGCCCCTGAGGAACTGAGGAGGAAAAAAAATAGCATCCACACAGTGACACTCGAGGAATTTCCCCTAGTCTCTGTGGTAAAGATCATAGAGACTGGGGAGCCAGCACAGAGTATCAGCCAGATATGATGACATCACATCATCTTCAGCAAGGGCACTGGTGGTGCTTTCGCAATATCCCATAGAAACACAGCAAAGTATCCCTCAAAATGCTGCTGCAACTGACCCCTGCCCAGCTCAGGCCAGGCCAAGGAAGCCAAGACAGGCAAAGTAAACTTAAGGCAGCTGCTACCAGCTCAATTGGGACATGCATTAAAAAAAAGTTCCACAGCACTGCCCTGTAGGGTTGCCAGATTCTTTTTGGCCGGGAGCAGGGGGCTCCCGGCCGGCGTCCTGGGCGTGCGCGCGCGCATCACCCGGAAGTGACGTCGCACGCTGGGGGCGGGGCCACGCCATTTGAGGGGGGAACTCTTTGTTTTCCCCTCAAATGGCATGGCCCCGCCCCCAGCGTGCGACGTCACTTCCGGGTGACGCGCATGCGGGGTTCCCCCCCCGGGCCCGATTTTCGTCCCATCGAAAATCGGGCCGTCAAAGCGGGGGATTCCCCGCCCCCCGGCCCGATTTGGGAACCCTACCCTGAACACACACATCGAGTTCTCACTTTAGGGCTTGTAAGACTGTTCTCATCAGATCTTGGAAGCTAAGCAAGGAGACCACCAAGCAAATTGTGGGTTGCTCTGCAGAGGTAGGCAATGGCAGACCAACTCTGAACATCTCTTGCCTGGGGAACTCTCTGGGGTCACCATAAACGGGCTGTGACTCAATGGCACTTCTTCCCACCAACAAGACCTGCCCCCTGTGAGCCGATGGGATCCCTTCCCTTGCTGCCCACCACCTCTTTCCCAGCTGGGCAGCGGGGGTGGGTGGGTCCCACAGCTGACAGACTCAGAGCCCGTCCACGCAGCTGTCAGGCTCTTCCCCACACTCGTGCAGTTTTCATACCAGCAGCAGTGAGGTCTGGGAGCGGAAGGCACATGAAACAAGAGGCTGCAGTCGTTCAGAGGGCACAGAAGGTTCTGTTGGTCTAAACTTTATTGGCACTGGATGAAGAGCAGGCTGTGCACCTTGAACAAAACCCTCCGCAACACCAGGCATCTGACGGGCAAGGAGTTTTGCATGTAGCTACAAATGCACGGGCTACCTCACAGCCTCTCCAGAGGGCTGGTGTTTTAACACAACATGTAAAAAGGTTGGTCAAAAAGGAAACATAATTTACAGTAAAACTCAAAACACAAACAAATAAAAGCCAGGCAAAATGCTTAATAGGGCAGCCCCCTCTCGGAGGACCGTATATATCCAAATAGCAGTAAACAAAATGGAGAGGGGGGTTAGACAAAAACTCCATGGATCCTAAGGAATAATAATAAAAAAACCCCTGTGTCTAGAAATCTTACTGTAATACTGAATGCTTCTTACATTAATTTCCTTGCAAAATATTATCTCTTTACAATACAGTATACATTTTCCAGGGAGAAGGGGAAAGTCTCCCTTACCCCCCTCCCCAAAAAAAACACTTCCAAGACTAATGTTTTCTAATTGTGCATAGCTAGAAAAGAATTAAATCAATCTCAATAGATACCACTGGAATACATAATACTGGTAAGATCAAAGAAGAGCTGACGTGACTCAGGAAGGCAACAGACTTGCCGGCACACGCCGGATGGTTCCTACTCTGGACCATTCAGAAGAAACGGCACCCAGGACAGAAGACGCTCCTTGGGCCAGCGACAAGGCTAAGACGGGGCGCCTCGTCTTTCAGGCACTGTGCACTCTCTCCTTGGGCAAAGACGGGTAGAAATGCCAGTGTGCCAGCGACAACTGCAGGCAGAGGAGCAGAACTCCAGCACCGGGAGCCAAATGGCAATTTGTTCACTCAGTAATGAGAGGGAAAACCACAATCAACTCAATGCCAAAAACTTTTCAGTAAAGAGGACGTAAATTGGTTCTGACACATTTCACTGAAAGGTTTTATTCTAGAAAAGGAAAAAGAACTCAAAGCAGTGGGGCTTTATATTTTCCGGAGAGGCGGAGGGGCTTGTCCCACTGCCTTCCCCACACCCTCGTGTCCTAAAGGCACATTACATCTACAGCAGAGAAGGACTGCGAGCGCGTGAACACGTCTGCCAGATGCTGAGACTCTGCATATTTGGAGAGACTGATGCACTGCTTGCATAAGCGACGGTTTTGGACTCCCGTAGCTATTTTTTGGCCACGCACCACTGAAGTTGGCTTCTGTGCAGGCAGCTTTTAGTTCTCTGCGCGCTGCAGAGTTTAAAGAGGGTAAATCGAGGGCAACCAGGGATCCGAAGAGCAGGGAACCTCCCCCTGGAATGAAGCTCATTTCAGATGAAGAGAGGGTGGCTTCCTAGACTATCTGCCTCTCCCTGTTTCCTCCGAAGGAGGTCCACAGCCATGCCCAGTGCAGCCCTGATGAAACCAGATTCTTCCTCCAATTCACGGAGGTGGCGGCCCTGAGTCCCAGCACGGGCAGGAATGGAAAAAACAGGACTGCACCTGACAGCTGACAACCCAGCTACTCTAGCCAATCAATCCTTCGCCGTCAGTCGTTATCCTTTAAAAAGCATAGCTATGGATTCGTGTTCCTATGCAAACGGCATGCCACAAGAAGCTACCAAGGCAGCAGAAACCAAGACCAGTTTTAAACCCCAGACAAATGGCCAGCAACCCAGAGACGG